TTTTAAAGCAGTGCTTAATTGCTATTCCTTTTTCTCCACTTTTCTAAAATGTACTCCATATATTGTGCCCTTGGCTCTGGTCTTTTTTCTTTTTTTTTTTTACTTCGTTTACAATTTTTCCTTTTCTCTGTGCTCTATTCCTGTAGGAAGGTGAAGGGTAAGTGAAGAACATTGGACCCCAGTATAGAGACCCAGACATTTTATGTGCTTGTGTGTGTGTGTGTGTGTGTGTGTGTGTGTGTGTGTGTGCGCGCACCACCCCATCATTGTTCATTTCTGGCATTCTAGCTAGCTGTTCTCTGAGCTACAAGCTACAGAATAAATACTTTAAATCTCTTCCCACCCAAATTCATACACACACATGTTTGTTCTTCTATCCTCACGGGGACTTTGCATTGACTTTCATTCATTTACTGGTCATTTTTAGAGCCTAACCCTGACCCATTACCCTAAACCTAACCACCCCAATACCTACCTGACCCTAAACCTAACCTAAACGTAATTCACACCCTGGTCCTAACACTGACTCACCAATGGTTTTTCCCCCCAATGGGGACCAGGCTTTTGTCCCTATAAGGGACAGTGTGGCTGTGTGTACTGGGTAAATGATCAAAAATTGTCCCCACCAGCTAAGAAAAATATGCACACACACGCACGCATGCACGCACGCACGCACGCACACACACTCCTGGTAACACTCTCCTGCTGTTAAATAGGGGTCTAGGGAGTTGTGCCAGCAAAATTGTTGGCTACTCTCCTTCTCCTCCTCTTTCTGCCCTCCTTTTAAAAACAAGGAAAAAAATCAAGTAATGAGCAAAATAATGCACTAAAAAGAGGACATTCCAAATCCATGTGTTTTCTCTTACTAAACCTAAATAAGAACAACTATCAGAAATCAGCTGCCTGGACAAAATGTCGAGATCATCGTATCCTTAGAGTCAACTATATTTACTAACTGGAGGAAAGCAAACACTAGGATACATCATTTATTATTTACATTTGCTCTTTGTGTGTATTGTTTGTGTTTCTGAGGAGTACTGAACCATACGGACTTTAAAGTTAACAGTGAGTCATCAGCCTCACAAATCTGCTCAACTCTGCTTAGCCTCTTCGAAGTCTGAGAAAGATTTTCTAGTTTTTGTGAAAGTCATACTAAATTAAGAATAAAAATATGTAGGGAATTTTTATACAAACTTTTTAAAGAACTTGATTTGTCAAATTTATATCTTGCAGACTGTAGAGATACTCTTCACCCAGGTAGATTTGCTACTTAGTCTCCCTGTTCTTCATTCCAGAGGTTTCAACAATTTAGAGGCTATTTCCTCATTTTTTTATATTCATGTTTAAGGATTCAACATTTGATTTAAACTATACAAACTTTTAAAGAGGGGGTATTAGGAAAAATTGACTTTTTTTGAGGCTCATTCCATGTTATAATGTCATTCCCTTATGAAAAAACATACCCAGAGTGTTTGTGATTCATTCATGCATGTTTGAGAAATCCTTGAAGCTCCTGAGGTGCCTAACACTTACTCATACAAAGCTCCGCCCATTTACACAAAGCTCCTCCCTGGAGCTCAGTCTGCAGTCTACCCCACACAGCTCCAACAGACCAGCAAAACATATCTTAAAAATGGTGGATGTTCATGATTTCATTGCAAAACAAAGCTTCATAATGATTTATATATAAAATATAATCACAGGACGTGTGGTTAGCAGGCGGGTGCTTCTTCTTTAGAAGTAAACAAAGAAGCCACTGACAATAGAAGACATTCTGCCCCCAAAAGCTCATATTTCATTGCAGATACAAATTTATATTTACTTGGGTAAATAATATGAATATTTGATAATAAAATTTTGTGTTGATTATTTTTTATAACAGACGTTATCGATTATTTAGAATAATCTGTGCAGCACTAATGTATGTTAAGTATTTAACTTATCAATCACTGTATTTAAGTCTAGTATTCTCTTGATGTTTTGCTTCACAAGCTCATTTGATCCTTTGCAATAAGCTTGACGCTGTGATGTTCTTTTGTACTGCAGTAATTACATGCTACTTTTTATTGGCAAGAGCGTTCTATTTAAGAGCTTGTTAATTAAATGATTCCTGCTTAGATTATGTGAGTGTATGCTTTTACTTGATGTATTATTAGAATATACCATTTGTTGCCACTTGAGCAAAACCTAAATAACATCAGCTAATGACATCGTCAAAATTAACAGTTTTGAAAGAAAAATGCAGCATCACTTTCTTACTTTAACATGTCAATATCTCTAAACAAAAACAACCTGTTGTGCTACCAGCTAGGTGCACAAAAACTAAACAATGCCACTATGAAAAGAAAAAAAAATTACTGGCATGCATACAAACTGCTCACCTGAATSCCATCCAACACCTTGGAGATAGATTGGCTGCTGACTGTGAGCTGACCAACCTCACTAATGCTTTTGTGACAGAATGGCAGCTAATCCCTGCAGCCAGCTTGATAAATCTTGGACTGTGATCAGGGATTAAAGCTCAAAAGTGTATACCCATCCCTTACATAAATCTCTTCCAAAGTTAGCTCTTTCTACAGCCTCTAACTTTATTAAAAATGATGACTTTCCGCWGCCTCCACACACCGTGGGATGCTGAATTACTCTCCATTTTCTCTGCAGTAGGCGTGGGTGCTGGTGGTAAGAGCCCACCCTCCTCCAACACCCCACCCCACCTTCCCCCATCCATCTCCACTCGCACTCAGGACCCCTGGCTATATGTCATGTGMTACACCTGTGAAGAGCATGGGGAGGGAATAAAACTGTGGATCTCAGTCCACTTTTAGAACAGCTAAAAAATGGACATCTAGTGAAATCCACTCTACGTTTGGACYGAGATAAGAGCGCCTCATCACRGRGTCCGCAGTCATTGTTACAGCTCTGTTTTGTAGCCAGGCCATTATYGCTCTCCCAGTGAGAGTGAGACAATTATGATGCAGGACTGAGATCCTTCTACTCATTCTTTAAATATGTATCCACTCCAGCTGTGCCAAGAGACAAATGAAACAATGAAATCTGACAAAGTGAGATTATGGTGCACACTGACTATATATAACCCTGACCCCAGGCTGTCAGTGCATCTTGTCCTCATCAGCTTTGTGTCCTTCCCACAATGAAACAGCTAGGTTAACTGTAGCTAATAAAAAATGCACCGTTGTCCTCAGTGCCTTGTCTTATCTTATCAAGCATCTGTCTCACTGAGCATATACTGTACATTTTTCGATATTTATTAATCCGAAGTAACTGGGTAAGCAAGTGTTTATGAACTCCTGGACAGGCAGCAGTTTCACATCATTTAAAGTGATCCAGGATTATTTGTAATGTTGYACTTTATTTGTTAAACATTTATTTTAACTGTAAAATAAAGTCTGTAAAAATACTGTAGGCTGTTTAGTTTTTATAAACTTTTAAAAATATATTGTCACACAAACTGAGCCATTTTCTTACAACGCAAGGCATACCAGGTAAATTATGACGTAGACTAGGTCATCATTACCAGGCTGCGAGCTAGCTCTAGTTTCTTTTAAAAGAATCGATCATCAGATATTGTCCAAGATTAACCTTCCGGGTGGATATAGCTCGCTAGCAGCCTCACACTGATGACCTAGTCTACGTCATAATTTACCTGGTATGCTTTGCGGTGTCAATAAAATGGCTCCATCTGTGTGACAATGTATTTTTGAAAATGTATAAAAACTAAACAGCCTACAGTATTTTTACAGTCTTTATTTTACAGTTAAAATAAATGTTTATTAAAAAAAGTCTAATGTTACAAGTAATTGCAGAACCCTGTAAGGGCCTGGTGCCTCWGACTATTATATTGATCATAATGAATAGTAGGTGTTTCTTTAATTGACAATAAACCAATACGAATTACAAGGTTTACTGAAAACGTCTTCTAAAATGAAGATGTTTGGAACACTTAAACCGAAGAGTCAAGAATAACTGGAAAAAAAATGTTAAGGCCCTGTCACACTAGACAACTTATGCCAACTTATGAACATTTTAAAGACATCTACATTGAAGATGGAATAAAAAAATCAACAGGGAGCTTCTTTTCAGCATGTACATATGTCATTCGAACAAATTGATCAAATATTTAATTTTTATTAGCAACTTAGACATAAAAAAAATGCTTCATAAGTTGGCATAAGTTTAGTTTAGTCTAGCCTAGTCTAGACTAAAGTCTAGTCTAGTATGACTATGCCTTAACATAGGTAAAATCTTTAACCTTTAACGCAAATTACTTACCTTTCCACTTTGTTTTAAAATCTTTTAAAAAAGTTTTGACCYTGTGGGTTGAAATTTTTAATGTAAATCTTATTTTACATTAAGTCGATTTGATCTGATTTAGCTCAAAATGAACTCCTAGAAATCAGATTTAACAAAAAAAGRGTGTTGTGATGTTTTAAAAGAGACACCTTAAAAAGAGAAAACAAGTTTTGCACTCTTTACTGTATCTAAATATGTATGTAGATTTAAAAGAAAAAAAGTTTAACCCCTTTAGCCATTTACTTAAACAGTGATGGGATGCAGAATATGTAAGTGGAGAGTCAGAAGGGATGCACCAAGAACATAGACTTTTAAAGGACACATTAAAGAGAGTAAACACACACYATCCTATTAAAACATGTATCTTTGCCTTTTGAAAGCTGTCTCCTCTAAATCTCCTTTTCTCATTTATTTAAAGAGAAAGCAACAAGTGAAAATCAATATGTACCACTTCCTCTCATTTGTTATTTTCTCTAAATCATCCCAAACAAGACCTCCGGTCTTTGGACAAGCAGAMCACATAAATTTTTGTTTAGGAGTTTAAGTGGCCAATGAGGCTGTCTGAATATAGAAAAAGCTCAGGCAGTGCCATTTATAGAAAGCTAAATGTTCTCTCGGCCAATGGAAAGGATAGCTTAGCATACACAGTGAAAGCTGCTGATGTAAAGATACTGACAGAACATTCTTACCTGAGGAGTTTTTCAGGTAGCCGTTAGAATCCACTGTGGTGTACATGACGTAGGGACCAGGCTGATTCACACCAAAAGGCTGGAAAAARACACACATTCAAACAAAACTAATTCAAAACCAAGACTTTTTCAACATATATTTTTTTCACATCAACTGTCCCTCATTCAGGGTGAAGAGGACACACGCAAACGATGCAAACCAATGATCCTCAAGTTTTCTAGTATTATTTCCACATCTGTTGACGATATGATAAAGGTCTGAACGAGCTGGRTTGAATTTGCCCCAAGTCTAAATCAAAGTGACATTTGCATGTTTATGTGTCTGTGTGGGTGGGTGCTTAACTCTCGTCTCATCTCCTCATTATGGATGACAGYGGATGAGGAGACCTGTCGAGTTATCCTTCACTTTACATCAGCTAATCATGAGCCCGTTACACATGCAGTCACACTGCAATGAGACTTGGTCCTTTATGCTGTGACACGCAGTAAGTTGGGCGAGAGAGGAATGGAAATGAGGTTTWAAAAAAAAGAAAAATACAAGAAAAAAGAGATAAAAAAGCCACTGAGGAGCAGACAAGTGGGCTGAACGCATGAAGGAAGAGGAGAAGTGTGACTAAGAAGAAGAAGGCTACGAGAGTGAAATGGAAAGACAGAGCGAGCTGATGGATGGCAGAGGAAAAGAGTTGAAACACCCGCAAGCACCACTCGTCTACTGCATTCATCATAAATTTCATTTAGACAACAAGCGGGTGGAAGAAGAGACCGACAGAAAAGCAAAAACAACCAGCAGCCTCTTGTTGATGTCAAAGTTGATGTGTTGTGGAAAGGACTTTCCACGAGTGAAAGGTTGGATGAGGAGTGAAGCTACTGGCTGATTCTGTTCCGCGTTCATTTTATCACCTTCCTGTGATAATTAGCCATTAGAGCTCTCATAATAAACAAAATGTGCTCACAGGTGAACATTTCATAAATCAAAGGCTTTTAATCCAAAATTGGTTTTTATATAGTACAAAACCCAAAACAAAACATGCATCAACATTTTTATCCGTAACTAGTTAAGTCATGTTGATGTTTCCTACAAATTCAATGGCTGTTTCAGAAACATAAAAAACAATTGTTTGTCAAAAACTTAGATTTTTTTGATACATTGTGCCACTTAAACTTTTAAGGGATGCATTAGAACTTTTCTGCTTCATATTTAACCAACTAATTAGAGTTTCCCATGTTRGTCATGTCAGTGTGAACAAGTACTGTATACCTCGAGGTACCATGATAAAGGATGCAGAGGGGAACAGAAAGATGTAGCAATCATGAGAATTTCAGCTCAAGGCAGTCTCCACAGAGAACAAAGCTGTTAGTGCCCTTGATTAAAAATAATTTCAAACAGCAAATCCCAAGGTAAATTCTCAAACATCATAGTCTGAATAGCAAAACATCTGGTGTTGACCAGTTCTGAAAATATAACACCATATTTTGCTCCAAAATTGTCTCTAACACTGACTTCACTGGCAACACTTTCACTTGGCTCACAAAAAGACAATGATCAGAAACCTTGCCTAACTCTGGGTAACAAAATGCTTTTGTACTCTTCTGATTTTATCTGTTATTTAATACTTTCCAACCCTGAAATATCAGAGGAAGCAAAGCAGCCCTACAGCATGACAGAACCTCCACTACAGTTTAGTTTTCATGATAGTTGGAATTTAAAAAAACAAACAAAAATCACCACATTCCCCTCAAAACTCTTTCCTAGTTTCAAAGTCCCTGAACCACTATCTCAAAAAGGTTTTAGATTTACTCTAAATGCTATAAACATTTGTCTTGATGGTTTGAGCCTTCAGGTCAAAATAAATATCCTKCTTAGTGTTGGCATTTTAGACCCAATGCTTCTTTCAATGTAAAAACTAACATCAAACCCAACTCTTTAGTTTTTTCCAAAGCTTGTCTTATGTCTCATTGCATCGTATTCTGAAAGAATCTTTAGTGTTAAAACGTCTTGATATTAATTCAAACTACAATTTTAACAGCTTTTATGACTGAATTGTAGCCTCGGAACAACTTTATTATACAACAGAATAATTGATCAAACCCTCATTCAGAATTAAACAGAAACAACAGTTTTCACGTTAGATATGGGTTTACTTAACATTTGGTAAATTATCTGCAGTTTTTTTACTTTTTAAAACTTAGTGTTTTACAATGAACTTCACTTTGACATACTGTTGCCAGAAAAATGCTGCTTTTGAAAGTAACTTGGAGTTCACTGRCTTGTTGAAAAACACATGAACAAATGAAGGAGCTAGGGACAGAAATGTAACCTAACAGTGTAGAACTGTCTCTCACCTGATACATGGACAAAATGAGTCTGAGTCTACAWGTGTCCCTGGGTTTTCAGTACACAGTCCAGTCTCAGGGGCGCTCACATCTTAAGCGATTTTCATAAGTGCACTGCAGCCCTGAAATTTWCAGGTGATAACCTAAAAGGGCTGTTTGTGAAAATGTAAATGTCTGCAACACTCACATTGAGTTTCTAATGGAGTTCACTCAACCAGTTAGCCAGCAATGAAGTGAGAAAATACCCACACCAGTCTATATACAAAGGTAATCCTCCATAGCATTTACAAAAGGTAATGCTCGCTGAAAAGAGTTGCTTTTTAGTTTTTTTCCCCTGACTTGTATAGTGCATTCCATCCATGAGTGATACTGCAAGAACGCTTCACCATTCTGAATAAACTCTACAAAATGCRGCAATTCCCACATGGCAGCATTTTGAATATTCCAGAGTATTTCTTGGTGTAAAAAAAAAAGGCACAAAATAGTCCAGCAGAGAACCAGAAAAGGTKAAAAATAAAGTTCTAATTACTTACCAGGCTGGAATCAATCAGCTTCATTATATGTAATAAATCATATACATGTACATATGTTTTTAAATTGTTTTTATTTTAGGAATGAGTGCACTGAATCTGAAAAATGCTAATGTCAAACCAACGTGCAAGAAACACTTTTTATAAATATTCTGAATTTGCYCATTAAAAATTCAGTAAGTGCTAGTCTTAACCAAGAAAAATGCTTTTATTATATTATGTTTGGGAATGTAAACAAGGACATATTTCTTACCTTGGCATCTTCAGGGCAGGCATTAGAGCAGAGGCCACTGAGCACTGAGGAAGAGGACAACAGATTGTCAGAGTTAGACATATTTCTGACTTCTACAAAAACATTTCTGCTGTGGAGAAARGTGAATTCTGTGCTGCTGAAACGATCAGTGTATCAAACAGACAGATTTCCTTAAAGTTTGACACAATATTTAACAGAGAGAGAGAAAAAAATACACAATATACTGGCAAACTCTGTCCAAACAGTAATTTTTACATGATTTTTTAACAACATTAAATATTACTTTTGCCTAATATGTGAATGTGGACAAGTAAAAAAAGGCAAAAATTACAATAAATGTAAAGAATTATGTGAAAACTATTAACATGAATGCAGGTTCAATGACAGTATTTAATTTATTTGTGCATACAAGTGAAGCAAAAACAGAGTCTGCTGAATTGTAAATCAGTTATTAGAGAAGTGACTTTATTAGCATATAACAAGGTCCAGGGTCTACGGTTGCTTTTATTGGGCTGATGGATTCAAGCTAAAGCCTAATTGTGTTTATGAGGTTAGACACAGTGTTGCGTCAGACAATGGCCAAACCCAGGGCAACCATTCAAAGAAAACATCGCCTTAAAGAAAAGAGAATAATTGTTTGTTATTTTTCAACATCTTTTTAGTTAGGCATCATTCAAAGTGGGTAAAGGCCCAGCTTTAATAAAAAATAACACATATTAAAAATACAATGGGCTATCCACTACACACAACAGATTGTGCTGGATTGGTTGTTGTGGAATCACRCCAACAACCATGTTGTGGTGTTTTATCATCATGGTGGGGGTGTACTGAGCTCCTTGGTGGGGACTGGGGGAGGGTCATGACAGCATATCTTTGATGCATGGCTTGCATGCACCAATGCTGCTTGGTAGTCGAGAACTTAAAAGCAGTACAGCACGTGCTGGTTTCATGCCTAGGTTCTAACCCCATTACGCCCCCACACCACACTGGCAGCACTTTACTTGTGGCAGTGTAGTCACGAGTGCCAGATGGTTCGTTCCATGCTCTCACCACACAGCTGCAYTGACCAATCTTTGCTGCTTTCATACCGTGCCACAAAGAAGCAAAAATGGTGGATTTTGAGGTACTGCACAGAAAACCTCTTCACCTGGATCCTTCCATGATGACAAATTTTACTTCCTACTCCACAGGTTCAAAAAGCTCACATAAAGTTGGAACATTTCCACATCTTGAGAGAACAGATGAGATATTCATCAAGCTAGAATAGTGCAATTTTCTAGCATGTAGCAGAGGATGCAAAAACAGCAGGGAAAAATCTATTTGGATGAGCACTAAGASAGTAGCAGCATCATGATTGCCTTAACATTTAAGAGCTTTTTTTATTTGCTGCAATCCAACCATATTTTAGTAGGTCTTACAAAGTGTGGTTGCATCATCATCCAGTGTTTYAGGGGTTTAATGATTTTTACAAAAATCATTTTCTTGTAAAATGGAAAAACATCCTGCTATAAAGTGTTTATCTCTGTGCTGAGATATCCCTCATCCAATCCTTCCTTAGTTTCAAATCCCACTTTTTAATTTTTTTTTACAAAATTGTACTTGTTTCCATACCTCATCTACTCAGATCATTGATGCCAGTATTGATTACTAAAATATTATCTGTATGATAAGAGTACAGTATTGAAGTATAAGAAAGTACAGCACAGAGCTAAAGTCTGTAACAAGAAGGAAAGTACAGCATTTTTCAAACTTTAATTTGTCATAACTGTGACATAATGAAATGTTTTTATACAATCTGAGTTCCTGTTTGTCGAGTTGTGCGCCCTGCTTTAGTAATCACTGCCACACATTTCTTTGAGCTCTAAACCAGAGGTGTCCTGGTTCTCAAGGGTTGCAATCCTGCAAGTTTTACTTGTTTCCCTGCAGCCACACACCTGACTAAGTGATTGAATTACCTCTTCAAGTTTTGAAAAAGCCTGTTAATTACCTATTCATTCACATCAGGTGTGTTGGAGGAGAGAAAAATGCAGAGTAGTGGCCCTTGAGGACCAGGATAGGACACCTCTGCTCTAGGATTATACCCTGGAATCTTGTCTTGCCATGTTTTCTCTTGACACAAATTTGAGAGGCAGATAGAGAGGCAAGATCACTTTAGCAGCAGATGAAACAGTCAGATCTGGCAACACAAAACATTTTTATCTTAAACAACTTAATAATTTAAAGGGGACGTAMCATGRAAAATCCACAGTTTTTTAGCAGTTAGGTACATTTTGTTGTATAATTGGAGTCACTAGGAGTGAAGAAAAGTTGATWTCTATTTTCTGTTTGTGRCATTTTTCAACCTGTTCAATTTATCTATTMTGTATGACGTTTTCTGAACTACTACGTCAAAGTATTTGCAACYAAACTGCCAATTAAGGTCTGGACTTACCAACTACAATTTGGTCATCTTCATTCTTTACTGGCTCTGGGTCAGACTCTGGCTCTAACATGRAGGCTGGATGGAAAACTCTTCTGTTGTTACATCTTTTAATTCATTTTTAAATAAAAGGTTTCTGCGTTGCTATTTAGTCGTAAACCCCTCTATCAAACTAGAATGAACCCYTCTGGAGGATGGAGTGGGGCTGGGTGTGAAGACACATTAGTCTTCTTTAAAATGGAAAAAAAATTCTCACTCTCCTCAATTAAAAATGCCAATACTAAACTATTCTTCCACAATACAGCTGTTAAACCATCACAGCAAATTAACAGTGAAAGTGAGAAGTTTTAACATTGTTAACAACAAAATACTCATTTATATTAATAAAGACCTGCGAATCAGAAAGGAAAAGTGGGTAAAGGAGATGYATGGTGGGGTGAATTATTAATGAAAACCTAAAGCCCTAAAATAATTAGCTCAGTAAAAGAGATCAGCCTAAGTGTGAACAGTACTCAAAGCAAATAAAACTAAAGCACCAGCAGTCCCTCTTAATACATGGGGATGATTTGACATGTAGTTAGTCTGGAGTCCTGACATGAACACATAAAATATATAAACAATTACATAAACTAACAGCAACTTAAGTGTAGTCATCCATTTTGCTATTAAAACCTTTGCAAATAATTAAACTTATTAAAGGTCTTTCMCTCAAACATGTCTCAGGTCTGACTATGTTTGGGTCCATTCACTCACAATTACACAACAGAAATATTCTTAACCTTGGTATTCTTGTTAGGCCAATATCCATCCTACCCTTTTATTATAGGATCACCTTGAACAGACAAAAAACAAATAAAAAGGAACAACCTTAAACTGCTTTGTGATTCTGTAAACTTCCCAGGCAGCACAACTGAAAAGGTTATTTTATGAATTCCAAATGTGTCAYAATACGCTCTCTTATCATATTAGAAAAGTGTACCTCCCTCTGCCATTTTTAAACTTTATCCAATCCCAAAACAAATCCCAACAAATTACACCAATGTAGTATGCAAATGAAGTAGCGTTAAATCACTGTATATACCACTGCTCCATTTTCCTGAGCTCTGATCCTTTTACATGGTATCTTGTCTGCCGTCACTTTGTGGGAATAAACAAGACTTTTTTATTACCAAGGCTTTGATTTAAAAGAAAATTGTGTACGTGTTGTAAAAGCAAATTGGCTGCTTTGAAGTTCACAGGCCTATTTGGAATATGCCTGAAGCAGGACTCAGATGGAGCATCCATTAACAATAAGTCACACAGACATTGACCCTCACTGACCATCATGCACATTATAGTAACTAACTATTGCTTCACAACTATTTTGCAACACGTTAGTTAACATAGTTAAAAAAATGTTAATAATAGCAATTTCATCAGGAAAATACACTGCTATTTCTTAGACACAACCTAATTTTGTTGTCATTTAGCAGCTTTTCAGATTACATTTTGCAATGCTCACCGAGCATACTCCAAGAAACTGTCAGGTTTAATATAAAAACAAACAACTTCAAAATATGTTCATGTCAAGGATATTAAATCCAGCTTGCACTGATAACAGACTATTCAGCAAACACCGAGATCTAGTCAAGGATACTTCCCGTCTCTTTTATAGACACTTTTACTGCCCTAAAAAGATGAATATCAGAAAGGATTTGACATTTTTTGGTTCTTTAAAAGTTGCATGAGAGTTGGCCTCTAGTTTCAARGTAGTCAGAACCAACCAGGTGCATATTTCTACTGCTCATCATCTCAGAGCAAACACTAGATAAACACATCACCATCATCTATAAAGGACACAACAATCAATAAATCATAAAGACTGGCTTATTCATCACTTGTTTGAACTTCAAGCCGTTAAGGGTCAGGCGACTTTCATCCCTGTGTGCAGCACTGTATCAATCGATAACACAGAGGGATCAGACTGTCATTTGTCTGAAGTGCAGCTAATTTGAAATGGAAAGGAAAGAGAAGTCGGGTCACAGGAAAACCGCCGCAGCGTGACTCAAAGTTACTGTGTCACAACCTCATGGCACACTCCTTAATCTTCGCCAAAATGAAAGAAACTAAATTTTTATCGGCACATAAAAATGTTTCACCTTAGCGACCTGCTTTTATCACTTCAGCAATATGATTGTTTGGTTCTAAGGTTAATTATGGCACTTAAAGAATAGCTGCTGTATAATTGTGGGTTAAATGACACACATCCAGGATCCTTTTAAGATTCCACTTCTTGTCTGTACAAATATTCTAACTAAAACAAAAGAATAAAGAAAAAGATAACAGAATACATAAAATTAATTTATTAAAAAATAATGTTAGAAACTGAATGAAGAAAAAAATCACAGGAAGATAGAACAGGRATTTTCTACAGAAATCAAAAAAGAGAAAAATGAGATGCATGTTCTTGCCAATTTAGTTTGTCATTGCTATGATTTTTATTTTCTTGCTATAATAATGTTCACATCATTGAGCAATTACTGACTTTTATATTATGTTTTTAAGTTTAAAGGGAAAGGGGGTATTATGTATTTTCCAGGTACATAGTTTAATTCTATTACAATCAAGTAACAATGTCTATGTTCA